AACATCTTATTCTGGTTTTACGTTTCTTCTCAGCCTTTCTCTCAATGAAGGCAATAAAAGTCTCTCTTCTCTGACCAGCTGCCTGTTTTCATGGTAGGAATTTCCAGTCTTTGAGGCTATGACTGCATGTTAAATCTGGCTGCAACTGATGAATGGTTTTAAAAGCTTTTCTGGGGGAAGGCAGGTGTAGTCAGAGTGTACTGGTACATGCCTTGCTTTCCTGGAATTTTAGGCCTCTGCATAGGAAGCCTATCTAAGGTTGACATGTTGTAAAAACTGCCCAGCATAGATGTGCCTGCAGAACACTCTGACACCTATATTTCCAGAATTCTTGGCTATAGGAACACAAGCCGGTCGTCGCTTCTGACATCTTAATTCTGTTACTTGGTTTAATATCTCTAAAGAGACTTAACTTTGCAGAGTGCAGATGTTCATAACTCAGAAATGGGCCTCCTAGGGATGATCTCAAACTGAACAAGTAAGCTAACTTTTACATTTCTTAAACACTCTGGGGGCCCATTTCAAGTGTGGGTCAAGTCCTGCAAGACAGCAAAGGTCTCCGGGAAGTTATTCAGTTCTTTCTGAACTCACTATCTTGAAGAAGGGTTAGATGGAGCTGCTTTCTCATGCAAAGTAAACTAAGAAGCTTTGCCAGAAAAGATCAGTGTGAGATACAAAGGGGACACAGTGCTTGTGTAAATAAGCACATATAAAGTAACTCCTGTGCAGCTAGGTTTGCTGTTTCCCCTTTACAGCTATTTTGGCTCCACAGATATGCTAGTTATGCCAACCTAAGCCTATCTGCTCCAAATCTTGCCTTTGTGCACCTAATGGTCTCAGGCTCCCTTTGCAGTACTTCTCTTGTCCTGCATTCCTTGAAAACTGCAACATCTCTGCTTTTCTCTAGCTTTTGGGTGTCTGGAGAAGACTTCAGTCATTCCTTCAAACATGCACACATTTCTTACAAGCCTAAAAGCGAGTGTAAGGATTTGGGGATCACTCACACATACAAATGACTTAGAAGCAATTCAAAGTTGTCTTTCCCTCCCGCAGTTGAACAAAAACAGTTGCCTAGGCTGAAAATGTACAGTACCCGTAAGCTCTACTGTTTAAAAATATGAAGCTCTCAGCATGATGTAATACTGTGCTTGTTTCTAAACCCGGGTGTTGATTTCCATGCCAAAAGTTATAGATGAGTCCTGTAAATGCCAGCATTTGTCCCACCCTTTCTGGTTCTTTAAACTACTAAGCATTACATTTTGTCAAGAGTAGGGAGAGTTGCAATTCACCACAAATGTTTTCTTCTAAAGGCAATTAAATATTACCAGTTGCTTCACATACCACACAGAATCTTTTCACTGGCATTTTAATCCCTGAACCACTCTCCTTTGATAAGTGTTTTAAAATCTTTACAGCTCTCCGACTTACTATATTTTACAGAATTCTTAAACTAAGATATGCATACAAGTAATAGTATGCAAGCAGCTTTCAAGTGGTATAAGATTTGGCATAACACCAGAGATACTTCTGCCAGTGACAGTACCAGCTGCTGTTGTGGTTGATGATGGTACCTGGCAAAAAAATATTCGGGAACTCCCCCCGTTCCAGCCCTTCTCTAGTCAAGGATAAGGACTCTTTGGATAGCATTTTGAGTCAGTGGTTCCCTTAAACACTACAAAGGGCTTAAAGGCCTTGCTAAAATGTATCCTTAATTTCACAAGGACAAGTGTTTTTCAAAAACATCAGGCTTTTGACAGCTTATCACAGTTTATCAACTCCAACACCGTTTCTAATAATTCTACGTGTAAATCCCACTGTCACTTTAAATTCCTCTTGTAAACAGCGAAACCATGGAATTAGATTAGTAACTTCCTGCTCTTCTTCTATGATATGTCCTGTTGACACTGTTGGTAATATATTAAGCTACACAGTGAGATTTTCCAGTCAATTTCTTTTGCAATAGTAAGTAAAGTATATGCATTAACCAAAACCAGTGGTGTAGCAATATGATTCCTAAATATTTGTTACTCACGTTTGCTCTAAGATGTCAGCTTCATGTAAACATCCCTCTACTATTTCCCCTCACCCGCCAAATTAAAATCACTGTAAAAAGAATAGTATGCCATCTCCTCCTCCCTCCCATCTCGTTTCCAGAATAGGCTTGAAAAACAAGAACTGCAAAAAGCTATTTCTGTTGTTCTGCACACTAAACTGCTCTGAAAACTCCAGCAAGCAAGTAGCTTTTGATCTAATAGGAACTGACCGTACTACTGAAGCCAATGAGATCAAATTATTCACAGCAGCTTCTCTAAACGTTCAAAATATCACAAATACATGAGAGCCTCTTTAGAATTAGCCATACAGTTCACAGTGAGAGCTAAAAAAAGTCTGCTTACGAACATCCACTGTGGGTATATATATGCTGCTATTAAATGATGAAAAATATCTTGTAACTGCACAAGTTTTTACAGGTTTCATTAAAATATTTTAAAACCCATAAAATATTAATTTGATATTCTACTAAAATAATGCTTTTTTAAAAAACTCAAATTTGGATAACTGACTCCTTAAGATGACAACTCTAGCAAAATGCCAGCTTTAACCAAAATTTCTCTTAAAGAATTGGAGGACTTAAACCTGGGAGTCCCGTGCACTACCTTTGAGTCTTGCATTAACACAAAACTTTATTGATCGGATATCTCTATTTTAATTCTATAATCTGACAACCCTGAATGCTTCTAACTTGATTAAGTGTGTGGAATATTTTTAAGTAAATGTTGTAATCAGCATGAGAGTGCAGTTTTGTGAACAGCTTGAAAAAGTTACTGAAGTGCCCAGGAGCTGCCACTTCAGCAGTGATGTTTTTTGTCACTAGATGAGATAATTAACGTCAGTCAGCCAAAGACTAAATAAATATGCATGTAAGTGAAGAGCCCGTGTAAGCACAAGAACTGAATCTGTATATATTTCTGCTGGTCTGAACCTGCCTGTTCCAGACTGGTCAAACCATTTCAGGAGCAAGACCAGCCCACAGGATAACCAGGCTTTCAGGCACAGTTCGTGCTGTTGCAATCCTGAAGAGATGTTATCAAGAACCTGCAACCTTGTTTGTGCTACCTCTACCAGCGTTAACAAGGGAGTGACACACTCTATGATCTTACCTGCAAGCTTTGAGAGGGAAAACTGGTATTTGCTACTCTAGTTCACCAGCAGTGCAACCCGTTCTCTCTTTCTTGGTGTTTTGCTGCTACATCTCTTTCAGCTTTAATTTTACATTCAAAAGTACTTTTCCTGTGAACCGTAAATCTAAGCGTATGTATGAGATACAGTCTGCAATGTCTTGATATTCCAAATGCTTTTATGATGCAGATTAGCAAGTTCTCAATAAATTAAAATTTACTTTACCTACCAAATCTGGTTTCAGTTTGTAGGTCAAAGGAAGGGAGTAAAGTATGGAGTACAGGGTTGTTACCACAGAGGAGGTCCAAGATTGTCTAACCTCACGGCTTCTGGGAATGCGATCAAGGGTGAACTGGAAGAGAGCACGATAAGCTGAATTGTTATTTTTCTAAGAATGTTGTTGCTCCTCCTATAGAGTTATTAGATCTGTCAGTGCCAAGTTTTGGGGTTTTTTTTTAATCTCGTTTGGAAACGTTTGGGTATGAAACCTTTTCTTAAACGCTTTATTCAGTGTCGTGCTTAGCGCTCCTGGCAGTAAAGTAAAAACAAAATACTAGAACTGTATATCTATTTTTTAATCTCTTTCAATTTTAGTTTAAAACATTCCTAACTTAATAGCAGCCTCACCCACAGTATGTTAACGTAGTGCCCCACCTCGTGGTCACCGAGACACAAGTCTAGGTCTGATGAGATAGAATGCAAACACGATGACTCTTCTGTCTCTTGCCTGTTTAAATTCTTCGTGGATTTACACTGCAGAAAATGTGACAACTTTTCTCAGTTAATGTCCAGTGCATACTATTAAAAATGTAACAGCAAATATCACTATCCTTTAAATGAGTACTCAACAAGTATTCAAAAGATATGCAAGATGCATATTCAAAATGCAAAATATTTGTATAAAGAAACAGAAAAGAACATCTTATCATTAAATAAAAAATAAGCTTAAGAAATAATTTTCTTTGTTCTTTCTCTAGGAAAAAGTAGGGGTTATTCACTGTGTGTAAAAGGTATCAAATTAATAAAACACGGATGTTTTCTGTTTGTCTCGGAACACTGCAAGCAGTTAACAGTAGTTAGGCTTCCTGCACTCTTTGCAGATGGCTTTTACCTTGACGCAGAGGAACTACACCTAAGAACTACGGCTACGTCAGAAGGCAGTCCTGATGCCAATGAAATTTTTGACCGTTTCAAGGAAAGACAAACGTAATGGTTGCAGTGCGCTGTTCATTGGCATTGACGTTGTTTAGATCTGGACAATGGTCACTATCTCGCTTCATATGGGACACCAGACCACTACCACACCAGCAGAACTTGTACTGGGAGTGAGAGACTCTAAATATCGTTATAAATACTGAAAATTGCCCAGTTGCTTCAAATATACCATTGCTAATTGGCATAGCTTAGCCCTGGCGATCTGTGACCAGGAAAGATTATGTTGCCAATAGCTGTACAGTAACTACAAACCAGTCTTGAATAGCAATAACTGGGGCTTTTTTAATATATAAGGTGGAAAGAATAAAAAACCCACCCCACTTATAAATGCAGAATATTAAGTTAATTTTCTTGACTGAAATTATCCTGTTTCATTGTGATAAGGTTCTTCATTTGCGGTGATGCTGGCAGGCATTAACAGACTTACAAACTGGTTGTTTTATGTTTTATTTGCAGGTGTTGAAACTCCGATTGCATTAGTCTGACAACAGAATATGGAAAAATAAACATGCCCCCTGCTCCCCATTCAACAGGATTCTGGTTATCGCTACCTCTCTATTTCTTAAAGCTTTGGAAGAGATCAGGTGATAAAAAGAAATGCCGTTAAGTGGAGTTTAGACCCTTGCACAGTATTCAGTCCTGCAAGAAATATGTGTATGATAAGGTTGTTTTAGGCAGATCAGGTTTCAGTGGGAACTATTCGGGATTCTCCCTTCGCTGTAAGAATGGTGTTAAACAATATCTGGCAAAAAAAAGTATGTGTTTTTCTTCATCATAAAAACCTATCTCAGCAAAACTTGGCAGGGACCCCAAACAGTATCAAAGTAGAAATTTACTTGTAGAATTCAAGTAAAGATCAAACTGGTTTTATCTGTGCTCTTCAAAAAACAGGCTTGAAACTTTGCACATCAATGTCTATGTCATATGTTAGGACTTCAGCCCACGTATCAGTCAACACTTAAATATTAAGCTGAGAAAGAAAACTGGATTTTTTTTGTTTGTTTGTTTAAAAGCCACTGCCAGATGCTTCTGCAATCCCAGCCTCTCATCTGATGGAGTACTGTTCGTATTCCAGACAAAGGTACCTCCTGCATCTTTTGCTGGAAAACTGCACAGTACGTCTGACACCAGAAACAGACAAATTGCTCCCCTATCTTCCACGGTGTCATATTGTTGCATTTATTTTCCCTTACATCTTTAGTGGAGTCAGAAACCTTTCTGTTATTTGAAGACAAATGTTCCAAACTGGCAATTCTATAATGGTTGACTGGGTATTGCGGTTTCAAAACCAGTGATGTAGTCCTTTACCTAGTTAATATTGTTGTTTTGCAAGCATGCAAGGAAAAGTAGGTGGAAAATTGCCACTGCTGTGTATTATTATAGTATGCTCAACTGAATATACTGCAATG